TTCCCGAGTGAAGTACCAATCTGCCAAAATAAATTCAACTAAGGCATTCTTGCAACGAAAGTCACAGAGAAAACAGGGCAGCTAATTCGTGACTGAATTATATTTTTTATGTTTAATTTCTGAAGATTTACGTAAGTCATCTTGGTTCGTGCCAAATTTCAGTCAATTCCCCAATTTTGTTACAGCTAAACTTGTGAACAAAGGCCATCAAAATGATAAACGGAACATGACCTTTATTGACATGTGGTCTTTATTTGGGGCAAATTTTGTTCTGCTTCAATAGTGAAGTTTTGACGAAAAGTGATCTTTATTGATACGATGATCCTATCTGGAGGTGGTCTTTAACACAAGTTTGAATGTTTATATTATTCATAATCACTTTATACTGATAACATGATTGTGTCCTTCTTGTACAGAATCAACACTGGTAACGTCGATGAATCAGAGACAGTTAAAGGACAGTAACTGTTTGGAGACGATGTTTGACATCACGTGCAACATTCACAACGACTGCAACAACTACCACACTACCATCTACAAAAATAAATTTGGAAACGTACAAAACCTAAATAGTAAGATATTTCATTTGTTGACATTCAAAAGTTTGCCTTAACTTATTATAAGATTACGCAGAAATTAAACCAAACTCATTTTCACAATACATGTACCTACTTCGGTTATTTAAAGGTTTGACAGTATATCTTCAAATGTGCACGGTTTAAGTGATATAAATTACTTTCTATTCACATATCCATTGCAGGTTATCTAGAATGTAAAAGGAATTTTACTGACGATGCCGGCTACATGATAGACTGTTCCGGCTCCTTGCCTGACAACCTCGTGGAAAGTTATTCATTTATTGCTTGTAAAATGGAAGCGAAGCGCCCAGATAACAGAGTGGTGAAAAAGGAACAAAGATACACTTTGCCTAATTGTGGTGTTGAATCAAGTATGCTAGTTTTTCGTTGTTCTGTTGAATTCTTAACCTTTTAGTTAGCCTTTCCACCAGTATAGAGCCAGACCAACTTGCAGTTTGTTTGACTGTAAATCGGGTGACCGCGACGGCTAAGCTCATTTTTGTTGTATCTGATCATGAAATCTTTTCTACAGTACCTATGCTCTGGCTTGTACAGAAGTTAACAGCAACTAGTTCGTGTACACTGCTTGACAACCTGACGTGGAACGATACGGCGACAGAACTGTGCTCTTTGAAATTCATTGTGGCTTACTATCGTGATCCGGAGTTAAAACTACCGACTGACCACGCTCAACACTTCACGTCGAAATGATAATCGAGGAAATCTTCAAACGTTTATGTTAACGTTAGAAATTCAGCAGATCAATTGTTATTTTTCTATCATCTTTGATAAGCTTACTGATGGAATATATTGATAAATTTGATAAATGTTGTCGTGGAAAGTAGACAAGAAACATAATAATCAATGTTCCAAGGTATATATTCCGTGCATACTATATTAGATATAATCTAGTATGTACGAAATATATACCGTCTGTAACCGACGATGCAAGAAGTTATGTAAATTTATAACTGATTTCTATACAAAAAGCAACAACAACAACAATTATAATAACAATAATAAGAAACCATGTAGTTTAACTAAAATATGATAAATTTGATTTATAGTCACCGTATGACGATTTGAAAAACGTTGATAATTATAGTATCTACGTATTCAATTTTGCAGGATGTCATACTAGAGAGCCGGGATATGCGGTATTCAACTGCTCAGAAAAAGCCTCAGACTATCTCAATCTTCAGAAAGCAGAGTGTAGTTTTCCAAAGCAGTCCAACTGTTTAAAACCCGGACGAAAGGTGTTTGATATGTACAAGGATAGATTTGACAATCTGACATGTTCCACGGACAACACTGTACCAGTCTGCCGACTTTCGTGGTGCAGCGACTATCGTTTTATCAGGAAAAACGAGATACCCGGAGTGGTGATCTGTTCTCCGAGTTTCAATGAGCGGTACGTGTCACCAACAACTACATCTACAACAGTTCGAACGAGTCCGACGGCATCATCGAATCAAAAATAAATCTCCATTTTAACAGGATTACTGCGCAGTTACCTTTATTTATATAGATTTTGTGACAGGGTAATTTTTGAGGAAAAAACAAAGCAAACAAAAAAAGACATAACAAAAGAAAAATACCCCCCCCCCCGGAATTTCACTTCTATCAACATTTTGTGTCCTCTTAGTTCAATATAATGGAGTATAATTTTGAATAACTCACCGTATTATTGTTTATATATCAAACGAAAATCTAAGTTGGAATTTATTGGAAAATTACAAGCAATTGAAATTCGGTTTTTTACCGAACCGTATTCCTGAAACATTCCGCGAAGGAATTCAAGCTAATATAACCCAGACCAAATCAAAGAGATTTTTTCTGTACCTAAACACAAAAAGATCTACGCTGTTTTTACAAGATGTTAGTCGGTTTGAAAATTGGACAGTCACATGAATATAGAACTGTTTTCTGTGATAGATTGATATAAGAACCCAATTTTTAACCATGTTCAATGTAATGTTTTCATTTGTTATGTTCATACTTAATTAATTTGATTCCTTGACATTTAATTCTGTTTTGAATGGTGTGCATGTCTTGCATCTTTAAATTATATACACTATGTTTATTTTAACAGATATAAATACTACCCACCTACCTACACCCTTATTCATAGCCGTTAACCTATTTTATATCTAAATGCATACCCGTTTATCAGCCTAACAACTTTAATACTTACCTGCCTGTCTAACTACCTACCTACTCGCAAACCTACATGCTTGCTTAATTGTCTGTCTACCTCCCATAATACCGGCTTATTCAGCTTCCTACTTTTCTTTCTACCTCGCTACATACCTACTTATTTTTTTGTAATTGTTCTTGCCTACTGTCCTGTCTACCTACATGCCTGCCTGTTTACTCGCTTAACTATGTAAATTTCTACCTGCCTGACTACCTATATGCTGTGCTTACACGTCAGTCTACCTCCCTACACACCTGTACACATTCTTGCCCAACAACCTGACTCACTACCGGCATGCATGTCTATCCATCTGCCTTACTACCAATATGCCTTCTTACCTTTTGCGTATAATACCTTTTTCAATTAATTATTTCTCGTATTAATTAATGACACATTTAGCGCCCAACATAACAAATCATTGAAAAGTTATAAGAAGAATAAAAGAGTAAAATATTCATGAAAAATATGTGATTAAATTTGTAATTGTGAAAGAAGAGTACTCCAAAGAAAATTGATTGACTTTTTTTTTTATACTTGCACATATTTTAGTTTCTGAATGTGATATTCGTTTTATACATATATGTATCAATAACATTTCAATCGAAACAGTTTAAGTTTTATATCTTTTTTTTGTTTCTATTTTTATATATGCATGTTTGATTTGTATCGCTCAATTTTGTATATTTTTTTGTTTTTGTATTAATTTTATTGAAATATCTTTTAATAAAGTTTACATTTTTCACATGTTGTTTTGTGCATTACTCATCCATGTTTCATGTATTACATATACATCAACAGAACTATCATAACACACTTTACCATTTCCGTGGAAGATCTTATAACGTTACTTTTAGCTTTTAATCCATTAAAATATCATCATATTCAATCTTTTGTGCGAGTTATCCTTCTTTCTTAAAAAATCTAAATATTAGTTGGATGGAGCTTCAATCAGATTAAAATTAGCTCTTAGACTTAATAACGCTCCGCTTTAAGATCTAACCGTGACCATATACGAAGTTATTTCTGGTGAGCTTTCACACAGCCAATCATCGGCGTCTTTCATAATTTTAAAAGCGATGTGGTTACTAATTTTAACCCTGGGAAAACCAATACTGAGTTAATAATTTTAACGATTTCGAGAACAAACCTGACGTTGTCTATATTGCCCAAGGTGCATATCCATATCGGTACCCTCTTTGCGAAATCTGTTCAAACGGTACCCTCTTTGAACATGCACAGGTCATTCTCTGCTAAAAACAAACCAGCGATGGATAACAATACAGTAAAATTTCATTTTTATAAGGAAAGGAGATATGACACGTAGAAAAGATGTATACCACGGAACACTAGAATGTTTTGTTTATGTGCTGATTTGTCATGTGCCCGATTTTCATGTACTGCAACTTCACAATAAGCTACAAGAAATCGACATGTCTTGCCTTGCCCTTCTCCTCGACATATTTTTCGGGCTGAAATGAACCTATGGCTTGATTATATATGCATCATACATATTTAATATGTTCATATACATATCATCTTCGGACATATGGCAGTATATTGTCAAAAAAAAATGTAAAAATCACAAAAAACCCTACATTCGGTTTTGCAGCGGCACGGGCTACCTCTCTTCATTTGAATTTTTATATCACAGGTACCCTCTCATTTCTGAACACATAGGTAACCTCAAAGCACGACATAAGATTTTATTTGCGTTAATCGTTAAGTATGTATGTAATATTTCTTACTTTTATGTAAATATTACATACTTAACGATTAACGCAAATAAAAACATTTTAGAGAAAATGTTTGAAGTGTTTTTTAAAAAAATCAACTTGAAAGAATAGAGTCCAATTAATAAAGGGCAAAAATGATTTACCAGTTTACCTGGCGGCTACACGGTGCATATCCATATCGGTACCCTCTTTGCGAAATCTGCTCAAACGGTACCCTCTTTGAACATGCACAGGTCATTCTCTGCTAAACACAAACCAGCGATGGATAACAATACAAATCAACAATTTTTTAACTTCCACGAATAACGGAATTTTGATTCTTCTTCTAATACCTTTGTAAAAACCGGTTTGATTGCATGGCTAAAATAGCTTTCTCGAGAAATCCGAATTATAAAGAAGGCGAAATATATACGGTCGCCATCTGATCTACATATAAGATATAAGTAGAACTGAACTTTAGGCAGATTGGATGAAGCTCAAAACAGAATAAAATCTATGTAGAAACCACAAAATATTATTAGAACAAAGTGCCTATATCTTTGAAAACTGTCATATCTTGGCTATCTATTTAAAAACATTATTTTATAAATACAATAGTGTGTTTATAAATTGACACCAGTTCCTACTCTCCTCTCTCAATTATAATCAGTGCTGATTGTCGCGAAATGGTATATGGTATATTGTACATTGTTAAGTACAATATTGAATTCTTTTGCATGGGCACTAGCCGAGTCTAATATATGTTTTTTGCAGCTGTGTCCAATTCCATGATTATAATCAGTATTGTTCTCAACCAGTTATAATGACCTCATACTATTTTTAACATTTTGACAGATATTTGTAACTTCAATTCGAATAATTATTTGATATAGCCTTTGGAATCTCAAAAGATCATTACGAGCATAGATGGGTACGATGTGGATCTGATATGACCCTTTTGGACGCTTTTAATAAAAACAAGGTTGTATGGCGTGTGATACGGGTTTAGTATGGACTCGAAAACAAGGCTAGATTAATAAGATTGGAGCACATTTGTGGGTGGTGAATGATTTTAAAATTTGGGAAGTTTTTTTTTTTTTTGTTCCGAGACAATTTATTGTTTCTGAAATATTCGTTATTATTGCCAGTAACATATCCTCAAAGTGTGGGGGGGGGGAGTGGGGAATAATCCACCGCTTTGTGCTAAAATTGGGTAAGTCTTCAAACTTCAGTATAAAAATTGAGTACGATTATGTGCAAGGAAAATCTAATATGTACATTAGAGAACGTTGGCAAATGTGTCACTTATCTCTTAGTCTGAAGTGATCAAAGTGATTGAAACAAATATTGTTGTGTACACAGTATTTATAAACCAGCTTTAAGACGTTTTAAGAAAATGAAAGAAAAGAAAAAGCAATTTTTTTTTTGTTAAGCCTAAGATGGTGTACATGATGAGAGAATGATAAATAAGGAAAAAAATACACTGATTATTCTTTTGTTTGTTTAGCCCTACATACATTGCAACTTCCTTTTGTAAATTTAAAACAGTATTTAAAACATAACTTAGAAGGTAAATCATCAGAGGGCGGAAGTCGTTTAGAAGAGACAAAATGGTTGGGAGAATTTTTGCAATCAATTTGAGTATTGTAGTGTTTTGTATGATTGTAGCAGTGACAGAATCACAGAATTGGAGGGGGTGAGTTGTTGATGATAATTACAATATAATATTTAACTCATGACTTCATATAAAATGACTTATATAAGAGTTCCATTTTTATGTTTAATTTGACATTCTTAGCTGATGGCCGTGACTTTTGAAATAATTCATTTATATGTTTAATTTGACATTCTTAACGAATGGCCGTGTCTTTAAAAATAATTTTGTATATGTCTAATTTGACATTTTCAGCGATGATCGTGTCTTTCGTATAAACCATATTTATTATACTCTTAATTCCTCAAATTGTGCATTTTTTTCTTAAACAATTTTTAAGTGAGAAAAAGGGGGTGTTCTACATCAGAATGTTCACAGTCACCCCGCAATATAAACGCGCCTAGTTGCATTCTGGTTTCAATATCTTTATTTTCCGCTTCTGTGCCTGTCAATACGCTCACTGTTCATAAAATATCTCATTGAAAAAATGCTTCGCATAATAAGATGTATATTATTTATAACATGAATGTTTGCATTTTACGAACAAATAACTTAAAAGAAAATGAAAGAAGATAACTGTTTAAAGTACGAAGTGACATTAAATTATTTCCCATTATTATCAAACTAAGTCTTTAGAAAGGGCAATATATCGTTATTTACAGAATTGACAAAATAAGCATTTAGTATTTCTTTCTTTTTATTTTAATCTCAAACTGTCAAGACCGCATTTGGTGAATATTTTGAGGCTATAATTCCATACACATGCATTTCTAAACGTATTTAGAATGTTGAAATTACGTGTTCTCGCTTTATTCCTTTAAAACTAGAGATGTTTAAGACTCGGTGAGATGTGCCTATTCATTAACGGCTTCAGTTAATTAATTCTATAATATACACCCTCTTACACCACTTTTTAGAAGGTTTCAATATCTTAATAAAAAGCACATTGCATCACTATATTGCGGTGATAATGACATTTTCACTATGCGACACTATGTGAACCATCCCATGAAAAAATGATTTATGCAACGTGAAAAAGGACGGGATGCGTTTCACTTCATAAAGCAGCATTGTTTAACTATAATGCATAGATTTGCACTTGTTTTGTATTGTATTATAAATTCCATATCTCTGTCCTTTGTAAATAAAAATAAGTAATGAAGACAATATTTTTGCTTGAGATTGTACAAATTAAGCAGATTCACGAATTCAAAAAATACAAGAAATAAAGTACAAAAATGACAGACAAACAAACAAACAATTGACAATGAACGTGACAGACAATGCTTGTTAATAATTTTCTTTCGTTTCTTTCCTTATTTACAGCCCGTTTTAAGATTCGCGCGATAAGGTATCATTTGATCAATTTAAAAAGGAAGGGTTAACTGTAAAAAAAGACAAAACAGGTTTAACTTTTATCACTTCGAAGTATCGTTTGTAAATATGAAGGTTAAATATAAGCTTGACTGTAGAAAAGGCGTATGACTTATTTATCCGGGAATGGTTTCCTATGACGAAACATGACCCAAGGACAATTTGAACCGATGCTTCTATAATTGAGAGGCCGACAAACTTAACCATATATACACATGCAAAAGACATATATGTTAAACGAGAATTCTAACATTACGTTTAACATACTAAAATGAATAAACAAATTGAAATAATGTATAATTATTTATAATTGCGATATTTACATTATTATTTTTATTTACGTTTACATTAAAGCATTGTAAATTATTATAACTATTTTTTTCTATTATTTTTGGTAATACTTTTTGACAATATTGTGGAGACAAAACACTCACTTAAACTTTAAAAATGTGCGTCGCCATTGTTTCTTTTATTTCCATACGCGTTAACACTTAATGATCTCTTTGTCACGTAAGAGTAAAAAACACACAAGAAAACCCTAACGAAATAAAAAAAAATATAATGGAACATGATTTGATAATCGGGTAACCATCCTGATCTTGCCTTTAAAGAATGCATTGTCAAATAATAAAGTGAACAAAACAAAAAGCTTCAGCGCAGTGTTTGTCACGTAATTGGCAGTAAATATTTTGTTTATATACACACTCCATTTGCCTGTGTACCGACCACATCTGGGGAAAAACTTATAAGTTATAACTAAGGAAGCTGAATAAAGTGAAACATGTTTTGATACTTAATTTGTGTTGGTTTTTGATCCAACTGTATTAAGTTATAAGTATAAATTTTCATCTGATGCGGCATTTAAGTTTTGAATAAGACCCGTTACGAATCCTAACCAGAATAACATACGTTGATTTAACCTTATTTTCCATTTGCAATACCCTTGTCCCAATTATGCGATAAAACAATTACTTGAATATCATTCTATCTCTTTAAAAGTATCAAAATGTTGATACCGTCATTAAAATAGCCTATTTAACTTTGAAACATCAACTACGCCGCCTACAGTCGGCCATGACATTTAGGAGCTACGCGAGCAGGGCTGGGAATCAAAAATGCGTCGTATCCTACAAAACGTATACAATCGCCGCCATCTTGGAACGAAAAGACGTATGTGTTTGTTTATAACTCTTTTTGTTGGAGATGACTGAGATATATGTATTAACAAGCTCCACTATTTTCCTCTTCGTTCGGTACATTAATTTGGCTAACAAAAGGTAAAGCGAACTTGCCACTCGAAGTGGAGTTTTGTGGATACGACGCAGTTCTTTTTGCTTTATCCACCATTTTATCATTCAAATCAAATACTTTTTTCAGAATTAACTATAAATTTCAAAATATAATTTTACATCATTTACTAAAATTGCATTAGAAAGAAATGTTTATTTTGAAAGAAAAATAATGATTTGTACGGAATGATACGACGCAGTTGAAAAGAAAATATGATACGACGCAGTTGTATTTTCATATATATATTTGTTCAGCTATTAAATTATGCGCTAATTAAGGAGGCTAGAAACGTCCAACAACATTTCGGTTATTTTTCGAATTTTTGATCATTATGAATACAAACCTTGTATACAACTTAAGTCAATAGCAGACATCACTCATTGGTTTCCCCAAAACGGAAAATGTAATGAAAATTCTATTAAGGCTTCATTTTCGGTCGCTATTAAAGCACCTATCATATGCATCCACAAATTCCGAAAAAAGAGTATCAAATGCAAAACACATTGAAACACGTGATCAACACCCATATGACAATGTGTTCTAGTGTTGCCTTAGCATGCTTGTAAACTTGTTCGTAAATTCGAAACTAATGGGGTAGTTACTTTTTAATTTGCATTTTTGTGATATAAATTTCAATATTCCAGGGTAACCTGGACATTGTATCAATCCGGAATGATCTTTGTTTAAAAGAATTACAAAGTTCGAAAAAAATGTCTGTTGCTATTAGAAGAGAGGTATGTGCAAATTGCATGCCTACCATTGTAACTATGAACAACAATTTCCGACAATGTCGTTATTACTTATGTTTTTTACGCGCCGAGTATTTGTATTCATTTTCTTTATAATCGTTGAGAACAAATGAGCTTTATAATTTGAAACTTAAATCAGTATTTGAAATAATGTTTATTCCTCTCTTAAATGAACATTAATTTTTTAAAGTCTTATTATAAGTTGTGTAACTACGATACGTTTCTGCAAGTAAGGTATGCGCATTTTAAGTTCAGTGCCGTTCAACTTTACTGCTGACTTTGTCGTATTGCATTTCTTTATCGTCGATGAGAACAGTTCTGAAATTTAATTTGTGAATTGAGTTCACAAACTTCATTATTCATCCCAAAACATATTGTGATAACATTGAACATAAGAAATTAATTAAGATATTATGATAATTTAATGAACATGTTCATGCTTATCTGAAACGTACCTTCTGCAATGTAAACTTTCAAATAAATGTTATGTTGGAAATGAAACAAAGTATTCTAAATAGTTTAAAGCAACAGAATATTGCTATAAACCGTGAATGGTAAGGTTTTTTTTTATCAATCACACACATGAATTTTCAGTAAAATGACCTATATTGGCAAAATTATCCCTGTTGTTAAGACTGCCAAAAAAAAATGCAACTGCGTCGTATCATATTTTCTTTCCAACTGCGTCATATCATTTCGTACAAATCATTATTTTCTTTCAAAATAAACGTTAATTTTAAATGAAATTTAAGTAAATGATTTAAAATCATATTTTGAAATTTATGGCAAGCTCTGAAACGAGTATATATTTGATTTGAAGGAAAAAAACGATGGTTAAAGCAATATGAACTGCGTCGTATCCACAAACTTCGTAAACATTCTAACCGCTTCGAGTTGCAAGTTCGCTATAACTTTTGTTTGGCAAAATAGTTGTGCAAGCAACATATACCTAACGAAGCGGAAAATAGTTGAGCGTGTTAATACATATATCTGGTTTACAGTCATTTCCAACAAAAAGAGTAATTAACAAAATCATACATTTTTTTTGTTCCAAAGATGGCGTCTGTTTACATTTTGTATGATAAGACGCAGTTTTGATTAGACCTGGTATGACAAAATTCGCGGGAGCCGACTAGAGTAGAGTCGTGTACTATATTAAGAACATCTTTGTTGTATTCATAATTCAAGATAATGTTTTTATTTACTTTCTTTAATATTTTTTTTTACTTAAATAAAATTATGTTGAATATATAAGTCATTAAATCATATTTTCAATACCTTTATAAAAAAGTAATTCATAAAAAGCTAGAAGCGCATTAGTTCTGTTTTCTTAACCGTCCGCGAAAATTACCCGTAAAAGTCAATCTCGTAATCACGTGGCCAAACACTTATGGCACAATATGGCGGACCAAGTGCAGAATTTTTTACCTGTTGGAAACTATTACGCAATAAGTTTTTTATGTTTCAACCTTTGACCTATCAACAGATTATACATAGTTTTATCAAAGTTTGCTTCACTTTACTTCATGGCTTGTTTAATGAATGAATACGAGAGTTTCAGATTCCTGGCACGATTATTGGTGGACTTTCCTTACGGGTCTGTTTTCAGCGTTCAGGTCATGTCATAGTATATTAACGGGTACGCTGTACACCTTTAGCTAGGGAAAATGTTTGATATGCCCTTGCACATAATGCTGCATGTTTAAAGAAAGCATGATAATAAACATTTATTGATATTTTGAAATAAGTAATCTTCAGATCTATTATTAACAAAGTAATCATATTTGCATAGTATCATATTTCATTAAGTGTCGTTTTATTTTTGTGTTTTCGGTTCATGACACACGAAAAAATTCTAATGTCAAATCAAGTTGATAAAATTTACAATTTTATACATATAAATGTAGCATCAGTTTGAAACTCTTTTGCATAGGCATCATATATCTTTATATCCTTAAAAGCGACCTTCAGCATTTCTAAAGTGTCAGTGTGTTTTTTCAAGATAAATCGTTTCATATAATTGTCATATCAAAATAATTAAGGTATAAAATGAAATTTTTCAACAATAAAATGCATGAACAATAAGAAAACGCCCCGAAACAATTAATCTACCGGTCCACCCTCGGTGAGTAAATAACTAAGTCTTCTGTTTTTTATATAAATGAATGTCACTGCGCGCTATGAATAGATCTCGGGTGCTGTTTTGAACAAGGCTTAACGGTGATTTTATGCACTTCTCCTTAGTAACATTACTAAAGTATTTAGTATGAGATAGCATAGAATCGTTTTCATAAAGGCTGCTTTAAGATATTACAAGCTTAGTAGACATTAGCGTAATAAAATCACTTTATTTCTAGACTTTGTCCAGTTTTCACCCGTGATTTTATACTGAACTATTTTGAACCATTATGCGTCAATCTACAAGGTGAAGCTAACATTTTAAAACTCAAAATCTGATAAGTTTTTGTCAAAAAGAAGAAGAAAAAAAATGTTGATAATTTATAAACAGTTTTAATGGTTCAGGTAATAACAACAATATATTGATTTCATTGCGATCAGTTTTTTTTTTGATTAAGTATGCTATGCAATAAATTAATTGTTGTCGTTATTTATTTACAGCAACACCGAATCTTTTGGAACATGGAAAGCAAAAAGATGTAGAAGATGTGTTATACAGTATCGAACGTAAGAAGGTTAACTAAATTACATTGTTGCGCGTCGCTCTAATGGAATGAAATCAGATTTTGACCTTGAATTTCTATCAAATAACCAACATTAATGATAATATCCAAATATAAGCTTATATAATATATATAAACTTATACCATATAGGGGGCATATTAACATTTAATATTCAGATCTCTAGCATGCCTACCAAAGTTCATGATGAACAATGTCTTCCATCCGCCCATTCATAAATGATAAACAATACTGGTTAAAACCAATTAATCATTGAAAAGTTTATAAGAATATCTGGTCATCTGATGTCTACTAGTTCATCTTCATTTGCTGCATTTCTTTATTGTTTGGACGCCCTTTGATGCGTTGCATCAATGCTTTTCTTGTTTGTTTGTATATGTAACAAGATATACAAATATGTTATGGCACCTTATCTGTAATAATCAGTAAGTTTAAGATTTTTGTCATCATTACTGCAATCTGTCATTACTTGCGCCAGTGTTACGGTGTGTTTTTCTAGACGTCTCTTTTACTGTTATTTTTCTAACCATGTAAATCAAGCTAATTTAAATAGTTTACCTCCGTTTTACAGGTACTGTGGCGCCTGGAGATCTTTCGTATGTAAAACACGTGTGACTCAATTAAGGTGTTTAACAGGCTGGACTCACAATGGAGACTACAACTGTAGCATCCGTAAGTATTATTATATGTTCCCTACTCATTAAAAGTGTTAAGTTGAATTTAATTTTTGACTATAAAGGTGGATTTTACATTTGTGTGCGCAATTTAGATTAGCCAACCAACGTAAATATATAGTAAACTGTGCTCCACTTAACGCTTTAAAACTAGAAAGAAAACAACAAATGAAAATTATGGTACAAAAATTGCCATAAGCTATAACATATAGGTATTTTGTGCTGTATTGCACAAAGAAACAACAATGTATTAAGTCAAAGTCAATTTTAATGGACCAAACAAAGATCATATGTCGGCCATTTTGAAAACAGTATGTCATCATTAAAATCGCGGTAATGGTGTTACTTTTTAGTTTTTTCATGTTTCTGTTAAAATTTCTACATGTTATATTTATATTAAATATTAAAAAAATCATCCTTATTTTGTAACTCAAAATTCATTTCTTCAACAATTAAAACATTTAGAAAATGATGATTGTTTCAGACATTCGTACAAATTTAATAGACTATTGCTTTTTATAGAAATTTGTAAAATGTTATTCTATTTTACGTAAAAAATTATAGATTTAAACTATTTTGCACGAAAACTTTGACAAATTTTAACACTGGCCACATGAAAATATGCAATAACCGTGAAATAAGTGATGACGCGGAATAAGTGAAGTTGAGTGTATATTATCTTTTAAAAAATGTTTATAAGTTCCATGCCTCATCGATGGAGTATTGCTTAGTTCATTGTTTATAACTCAATTTTTGTTTTCAACTATCGTTTTATTCTTTAAGTAATGAAAGTTTGTTAGGATGCTAAATCTATCATCAAGAAGAAGGTTACATCATTTGTATTTCATTCTAAGCTTAAACTGTACTTTTTACAGGTTTACATGGCTAATTTCAAACTCGAAGCAAACATTTACATTTTGGCAACTGAATATATTCATGTGTCTCTATGAATATGCTTGCGCGTGTGCGTGTGTGTGCGCGTGCGTGTGTGTGTGCATAGGCGGAAGATCGTTTCTCATTTAAATTAATCACAGACAAGACCTAACGTTAAAAAAAAAACATCTTGACTAACTTTAGGAAGAGGGTGAATGCTGCTCTCGTCATTCTGTCAGAACAAACAATTTACACTCTCAAAAATTTGCCATTATAAACCCTGTAATCTTTTTTCAGCAATATGTAAACCGAACTGTGGATCCGTTGGGGAGTGTGTGGCTCCTGGTAAATGTGATTGTAAAGGTCTGGCAGGAGGACAATATTGTCAGTACTGTAAGTTATCAAGTTGCTTATTATAATGAATTGTACGTTTATAGGGCTGCATGTGTATAGAAAATAATGATTAATATGACAAAAGTATTCACAAAATGAAAATAAGAAGTCATATTTTCCTAAGTTTTGTCCAAATTAAAGATGTCTGCTTACGTTTTGGGGTAGACAATATTGCAAAGGTGTGGATGATTATGCATTTACGGTAAACGGAATATATAAGTGATTGGTTAAAGAAAGTTGAACATTGAAGAGTTATAATAAGCACAAAAGAGTAAATTATTCATGTATAATATATCATTAAATGTATTATTTTGTACCTGTGAAAAAAAAGAGTACTCCTTACATTGAGACAATTTGTTGCCTTTATATAATGCTTGCTAATATTTTAGTTTCTGAATGTGATATTCGTTTTTATGTGCCCGAAAGAGTTTCGGACAAATTATGTTATACCCTGGCGTCTGTACGTCATGTTTTACAAGTTTAAGTTTTATATTTTTTTTTGTTTTTATTGAAATTCATGCATGTTTGATTTTGTATCGCTCAATAGTGTATTTTTTTCTTTTTTTTTTATTGGCGACGCCGGTGAGCGGCGTCGTCTCTTATGGAATACTTTTTATTTTGGCCTATGGAAGGAGCTGTTATAATTAGCGGTTAATGTCATGTTGTGTTAATTAGTTTTATTTTGATTCGTAAAAATCAAGTAAACAAATATGTTATTATATTTGTTTTTTAATAACTTTATGTAAAAGTATGTGCATTGCGATATTATTTTCACGAAATTGCAGGCTCAGTTTAACAGCTTGTCCCTTAGCTTTTTTGGCAATACTAAAATCCGAATTTCGAATATCGTTGTGGTCTACATTTATGCCGTATTCCTTTTCATTCATTAATATATTTTCAAAATTTTCCTACAAGAAGAACGTTCATCTGTAAATGAGTATAAGGATAGTTAATGGAACTGTTGTAAACGATTATCCTATTGATTTTATCCATATTATGTTTATCTATTGGATTGATTGTTTTTACAAAGTGTACCAATATCCGGATGTGGAAAGCTATCCGATTTTCTGCTGTTACATGGCCATCTAATTTTTTCATGAATACTTTACTATTACTTTGCATGGATTAATAAAACTGAGCCAGCAACATTTCATAATTTGTTTAGGGTGTTCTTTTGGGTGTCAGGTTTTCTCTATTTTAAGGGGAAGTAACTCATGTTTTCTAAATTATTTGTTCTATTTTAGGAATAACTAACTATTTTTGTTGTATAAAATTTACCAGTTGTAAGGTCATCAAAAGCATAGAGGCCCTGAGGAGTGAATATTGATAGATTTTTTTTACTGGCTTTATATATCTTAGACCGGATTTTTCTAGTTTGTTCAGTTAGTACATACCTACAGGTATTCTGCTACAGAATCTTCTAATAACAGCGTGAAACTAATTATTATTTTCTTTGTGTTTGTATATAAATTGTTAATAAAATAAACTGGTTAAAATGAAAGGTAGAAAATTAAAGCCGATATGTTATTATTAATAATATGGTGTACGTTATATCTATTTTTAATGGAAACTGGGAATTACACGAATTATCTACACGAATATAATATTCTATTTATCACATATAAAGAATAAGAACATTAAACTGTTAAAATGAGTTTTTTTTTCAATGACGCGCCTATAGTGTAACGCTAACATTAGCGCGCTTTAACGCTATGTTTATATAAAGCGCAAATGACGTCACGTCAAAGTGTTATTACACTAATGTAATATCGTTTTTATTAAATGGCTTTATTACACTCCTGCGCCGCGGTTTGATGTGATAAATGTATATCTTAGTATATGGATATAATGTGACTTAAAATATTTCTCTATCTAAAGACTTACAGTTATGATGGATGAGACATGCATTTAAATTTATAAATGATAATACAGTTATTGATTAGTCTACAGGTTATAGGTGTATATACTTTATACCCAGTGTTAGCTGACTAATAAAAGTATCTATAATAGAGTTCATACATTATAGTATATTTCTTCTAGATTTAGAGTTCCATCCATTAGTACCAATGTTAATGTTAGCTGGGAATTATTTATGTTATGTGCATACATGTATATCTTTATATGGATATGATGAGACATAATATATTTCTGTATTTAAAGAGCTGCAGTTATGACATTATTATTAAAGGGGTGAGACTTTCATTTAAAGTTATAAATGACAACAAATGAATCGATTAGTATACAGGTTAAAGGTTTATACCCAGTGTTAGCTGGCTAACAATATTATCTATAATAGAGTTAAAGGAATATTGTAAAGGGTTAATTAGCCTGGATGTTGTGGCCGGTTACATAATGACCTACTCCAGAATTGAGGTTAAATTAGTGTCCTGCCAGGGTCCATGGTGCAATTCCACCATGAAAACCGACAAAGTACAAACAGTCGGAAACATGAAAAAAAAGAAGAGAAAAAATCTACCACAAAGTGGTTCGCTTGTTGTATTTTCATGTTTTCGCCCGGTGCCCCCTTCTGCAAAAATCAGCCTCCATAATATTTGTTATCAAAGAAAAAGAGTTAGTGTTTTTATCTGTACAAAAAAATTAGATATTGTGCATGTATTAGTACAGTTATGTTCACTTTCAAATTGACCTGTTATAAATAATGGCACAACCAATAAATGTCTAAGCCCCCTTTTTTAGAAAAAAAATAATTATACAGTATATAAATTTTTATTTTAATTAAGACTATGAGTATGTAAGTTTTTTTCTTATTTGTTTAATTAAAAATTAATATACCTATTAATTAAAAAATCTTAACGTATCTGTCACGTTTTAGAACTGTCCACTATTTAAGGGAGAAAAAGTGTAAGCGGCGAGATAGATAGCTCTATCGCTACAGCCGCAGTATCAAAGGTTCGAGTTCTGGTCAAGCTGAAAGTTTTTCTCATCCTGTGACTGCATATAACCCTGAGTTTAATTCACTATGCTCCGTAAACAGAAATTCAAGGACACAAATCAATATAGTGGGGAAATATGTTGTGGTTTAGAACTGTTCATTATTGAAGAGATAATGTGTAGCCAGCCGGATAGCTCAGTTGGTTTTCTGACAGTAATGGAGTTTGAGTGATGGCCAGGCAGTTCAGTCAGGGTTAAGAAGTGGTTTTTCAACTGACACAGTCATGTTTGATTCATTTAACAGATTGTATTAAATTTGAAATGGACAAAGGCAGTATTGTATGCATGAATACTTTTAGATCTACAAAGGGCATTTGATACATTTGATCACACTATACTACACATGAAGAAGTTTTTCTTCTTCTTCATAAAACTTCAAGCATCTGCCACAGGTAATGACATTCTTACATGGTTCAAGTCCTATCTCTGATAGACAGCAGCTGGTGGATGTGGCTTGAACTCATTCTACTACTGCTCAGAGTACCTATGGTATCCCCCAGAGGTTCATTTTAGGTCATCTTTTATATAAAATATATGTCAATGACATAATATGCTTTTATTATATGCTGATGACTCAGGTATCCTTGTATCTGGTAAAATAAAATTGAAGAAATTCTCTCTTATGGCATGAGTCTTATTAGTGATTGTTTAATTAACCATAAATTGTCTTTGCATCTTGGCAAGACAGAGCTCTTTTCTTTAAACTTGGCCTAGCCTCCAGGTCACATGTATTTGTACTGCTATAAAGTACACATCTTTTGTTAAGTTTTTAGGTGCAAATCTTGGTCAAATTGTTTTGGCGCGCCTTTGATGCTTTGCATCAATGCTTTTCTTGTTATTTTTATTGAAATACCTTATAATAAAGTTTACATTTTTCACATAGTGATTTGTGCATAACAAATCCATGTTTCATGTCGCATATTTACAGCAAAAGAACTATCTTTACACACTTTTTAATTTCCGTGGAAAATCTTGAAAATGTTACTTTTAGCTTTTAATCCATAATATTCAAGCATCTGAAATTTTCGTTCGTACATATCATGAAAACAAATTAACAATATTTCTTATTTGATCTTTTGTATGAGTTATCCCTCTTTTTTAAAAATCCAAGTGACAGTTGGAGGAATAAATTCTATTTAGAAACCACAACATGTTATTAGAATAAAGTGCCTCTATCTTTGAAAACTGTTCACAATTATTGTATTGATTTGTAATGATTGTAGCATTGACAGAATCACAGAATTGGACGGGGTGAGTTGTTGATGATAATTTCAATATAATAATATCTAACTCATGACTTCATGTTAGAAGCTTATATAAGAGTTTCATTTTCATGTTAAATTTTACATTCTTTGCAGAGGGCCGTGGCATTTCAAATAATTCTTTTTATATGTTTAATTTGACATTCTTAGCGGATGGCCGTGTCTTTTGAAATAATTTTGCATATGCTTAATTTGACATTCTTATAAAGCGATTGACCGTCTCATTCGTATAAACCATATTTATTATACTCTTTATTCCTCCTTGTGCATTTTTGTCTTAAAACAATTTTGACTTTGACATGAGAAAAAATATACCTTTAATGTTTCCATAAAAGCATAGTAGAATATTATTACTATTTTTGGGAATAGTTTTTTACGAAATTGTAGAGAGAGAAAAATGCCCTTAAACTTTCAAAATGTTCGTAGCCGTGTTTCAAATTTTAGTCGCATATGCGAAAATAAAATTGCTCACTTGATCTATTCAACACAAAATACGAAATTAACAGTCCATGCACTGATATTCTACTCCTCTGTGATACATTAACATGAGAATATACTAACTATTTTTATAACTTACATATAAGGTCAAACATACATATAATAGTAAGAGATATGATCATATCGGTAGACTCACACCATCTGACTCTCTCGCGTATATAAACTCTCTAGAGATGAACAACAGCAATATGTGAAGCATCATCTTGCTGTGCACCAAGAATATTTGCCACGTAGGGAGTGTGTACACGGTGAAGATTAATTTTGGTGTTTATAGATCACTACGATCATATGTCGGCGGGCGTACCCTTGCTTATACAACTGTCTGTTGCAGAGATTTAAAGGATCTGAGAACAATTGATAAATCTAAAACTACTAAAATGATACCAGTTGACCGAGAAGTGCCACGTAATGACGTAATCGTATTACTAGTCTAGTTTATTATACGAAAGCCAAGTATATATCAACTTCAGTCTTATAGTCTTGCGGTACCCTTGGCCATATACTTCAAACAGTTTCGTGTCTCTCTAGTGTGGTATAGAGAGTTATACCTGTCTCATGAAATCGACAAAAAATTGCATAATCCGCTCAAATTAAAAGCTTGAATAAAATGGAAAGTTCACTATCGATCTTGCACATCCTCCTTCACAAGTATCAAGTTAACAATGGAGCAAGCAAGCTTGAAACTCTTATTGCAATATATTACTGTCTTCAATAGCTACTATCTAAAGACGGTGCGCTTTATTAGATGAGTATAGCACTAAGGAGGCACTGCATACAGGCACCCTCTCAAAGCCACCGAGTCTTTCATAGTACATTTAACATTAGATACAAAAAGAGAATGCTTCTGTTTTTTTCAAGGACAAATAGAAAGATAAGTCATTGTATACTACTAAACTGGTAATAGATCCTCCGGGATGCTGCTTCAATATTTGAACCATGGGTCTTAACAGGGACCTTAATTGTATCTTATTTCTAAAGTTAACTCCGTTTACTGAACTGGCTTAGTTGAAAGATTAGCATAGGATTTCGTAGCATTTTGTCCAAAATATATTCACCTAATGTTTTATATTGAACTATCACTTGAACAACACTTGATCACACCAACCTTTACGAGCTGTAGCTTAGATTTAAAAACTCAAAATCTGATAGTTCTGTACTCATCAGTGTCGTACACAATATACAACAACTTCAAAAAATTATGTTCAGTTTTTATATTTTACCTTGACCAGTCTGAGAGACTTTGTAATGAAGCTTTTTGTCATATAGAAAAAAAATGTTCATCATATTTAAATAGGTTACATGAATCTGGTAATAAATACAATATATTGATTTTATAGCTATGAAGTTTTTTTTATTTATCATGCTATGCAATACATAAAGTTTTTTCGTTCTTACTTACAGCTATATCGAATCTTATAGAACATGGAAGACAGAAACATGTAGAAAATGTATTGCTCAGTATCGAACGTAAGAAGCTAATAATTAAGCCTACCAAAGTTCATGATGAACAATGTCTTTTTTACGACCATTCATCTATGAAAAAGTATGATATGCAATTCTGGAAAGATCCAATTAACCATTGAAAAGTTTGTAAAAAGATATCATCAGATGTCTACTAGTTAATAGTCACTTGCTGCATTTCTTTCTTGGACGCCCTTTGATACTTTGCATCAATGCCTCTATTGTTTACAAGATATACAAATGTGTTATGACACCAGTTACAGCGGGAGTGATGACAGATTGCCTTTAAGTAAGTGATCACAGAAATCTGAAATTAAGTGATGACTATAGTCAGTTTATTATAATGATTATATTAACATGCAAACCATATTTATAACTTATCTGTAGTAATCAGAGAATTTAAGATAGTTGTAATCACTACTGCAATCTATCATTACATGCGCCGGTGTTACGGTGTGTTCTTCTAGACGTCTCTTTTACTCATATTTTTCTAACTGTATAAAGCAAGCTTATTTAAAGAATTTACTTCTGTTTTACAGGCATTGTGCCTTGTGGAGAAATTTCAAATGTTATATGCCTGTGACTAAATTAAGGTGTTCAACAGGCTGGACTCACAATGGAGACTACAATTGTAGCATCCGTGAGTATAATTATTATATATATCATCTACTAAGTTGGATTCTTTTCTTCTAAATTATGTTAAGCAACTATTTTGGCGGACCTTTATCTAACTGCAGGTAATTAATAAGCCAATCTACGTAAATATATAACATTTTATCTTTTAAAAAATCTGTTTATAAGTTTTATGCCTCATCGATGGAGTATGGCTTAGTTAATAGGTTGAAGATGCTGTATGTTGAAATAAAAGTTGTTACCTGTGTGTTTTTTATTTGCGTTAATTTATACTCGCCACCGGTTGCCCATACGGGCGAGTCCTCCAGAAGATTATTAGTTATTTTATTTTTTTGGAGTAAAGTGCAATTACAGATAAAGAAAGATGCCACAATTCCAGACGCTTCTCCTGGTTCTTTATCGTGCCAAGTGATTAAGCACCCATACAGTAAAGTCTCATCCGAAAGACTGATCAGTCTTGACTTCTTTTAGGAAGAACGTGATTTTGTCAGAACAAACAATTTACTCTCTAAACAATTTGCCATTATAACCCCTGTAATTTTTTTTTTCAGCAATATGTAAACCGAACTGTGGATCCGTTGGGGAGTGTGTGGCTCCAGGTAAATGTGATTGTAAAGGTCTGACAGAAGGTCAATATTGTCAGGAGTGTAAGTCATCCAATTGCTTATCCATCGAAATGTCGATTAAAGACCTGCATGTGTAAAAATAAATAATGATAATAATGAGAAAAAGTATTCACAAAATAAAAATTAGAAGTCATATTTTCCTAAATTTGATGGAAACGATTGTCCGAATTAAAGAAGTCTGCTTACTTTTTGGCGTAGACAATATTTCAAAGGTGTCCGATGATTACACATTTGATCGGTATTTAGTAGACTTCATAAAGATATTAAATCGTTTGTTAAAAACTTTGGTGTATCCATATATGGCAATATTTATGCTCTTAGTATCACCAAACAGTGATGTTAAAAAGGATTAAACCAATATCTTATGGTAATATTGTGTTTTCTGTTTCAGTGCTAAATTCTTCACCGAGAAATGCATCTGAAAATAATGGACAATAATATTCTTATAACAGCTGATTAAATAAATGAAATATATACAGTACGTTTCTTTTTTGCTGAAGGAAATCTGTGAAGGATTGACTTCCCATTGAAACAATAAATATAAATAGAACTTTTATCGGTCATTGTCATCTTTCCTCCCCACAAACGCAACAAAGATGCCGACTACCTTTTACTATCATTACGTGCAAGCTTCCCTGGTTACGCGGTATTTTTTGTGCGGATGGACAAATACCAAAATCTTATCACGGTGCGTTACATCACATATGATGACGGAATCTCAAAAATAGCTTTTTATCTCCTTCCTGTCATGCTGGGTCACAATGCAATGTTTATTGAGCTCTGTGCAAATATTACGCCTACATAAGCCTAAGGATTGGGTCTGACTTTAACCAAAACCATTATATCGAAGTTAGTTCATGCGATGGCAAAGAATTGCACGTTACCAGTAATGTTCATGCCCGATTGACAATAGTGATGAGCCAAAATCACAAGCACAAATATACCAATACATTTTTATTACTGCAATGTCCGTACTCAGTTGTTCATACGTATTTGTAAAGTAATTTAAAGTAATTAATACCAGTATATCTCTTCAGAAGTACACATTGTTTTTCAAAATATTTTTTTTTCTTATTTTCGTTGGCCCTGTCGCTGTCATTGAAAAAGATGACCCTTGACTTTTGGAAGAAATTTATCTCGATTTAAAATAATGAACAAAATGGAAGAAGTGAGAAAAAAAAGGAAAAATATCAACATGAACATTTTTTATTTAATAATTTAATTTCATTAATTTAATTTTTAATTATTTTGATTTGATATTTTTTTTAAATCATTTTCTATTAAAAGTTAAAAAATTTATTCGCATACATGTAGTAAGCTAAAACAGTAATCGTGAAAGTTGAAGCATAATCATATGGAACAAGTTCAATATCGAAAAACTGACTTTTAAAAGTTGACTTCAAAAATATTTCAACTAACATTAAAAACTAATAGTTTAAGGCGTATATACATTTTTGATATTTATGCCCACACATCTTGTGGCAATTTCTAGTCATTTTGACGTCTTTCAAATTTATGTATCGTGTAAAAAAGAACTAACGTATGTTTGTTTTGGAATATGGGGGAGAGAACCGTTTGAAAACGCTTTAAGTACTGGAATATCAAAGCACTGAAAGCGCTGGTTGCACACACCTCGGTGATTTTATGCAAATATTTAAGAAAACGAGTCTACCTTGTGGCTATGTTTAACATTTGCCTCGGGGCTATTCCGACAATAAAAATTCTGAAAAATGCATATGTTAATATTACCGAATTGATATTTATCCCACTGAGCCTCTTTATTTATTAATTCAAACAAATTTTTCAATCATTTAGTACTTCATATATATTATACAATTTCAGAAAAAATGTTATAAATGCAAGCTTTAAAACATTGAATTGTACAATTCCATTGAGCAATTTAGTCTTTAGACAGGAAAGATTATTGCTGGCAAGTACTACCAAAACTACTACCAAAACGCGAAGCAAATATTCGGAACATCTCGCAATTATTCAATGGCCAATAACTTGCAATTGACGAAGTCTTCGCAGTTAGGTTTCTTCGTTTAAATCATTATTGGCGATATTCAAATACCATATAAGTTGCAATTGACTAAGTCCTCGTGGTTAGGTTTCTTCGTGTAAATCAGTATTGTTAATGCACATAAAGTAAACGTATCAACAAATAAATATTTAGAGTAACAACATGGAAGTGTAAAAGCCTTTACCGACTTCGTTAATTTGGCGGCAGTTGATTCTAAATTAGTTAGTGCAGATTTCACTAAATGCTTATGAGCATCGATATAATTGAAATAAATCTACTAGAATTAAACATTTTATCCGAACTCATTTAAGTGCAAATACCTCATTTTACAATACACTGTTTTATACAACAAGGAACTATTTTAAGGAATAATTTGATGGGAAATGAAATTATTCTTCATTTCGTTAGGACAAATCTTAATTGAAATAATCCATAATAAAGACTTATGTAACAAGCAAGAAGAATAGAAATTAAAATCATTGTCATGAAAACAAAACTTTCAATTTTAATATATTCTTTTACTGAAATGACGTTAGCTTATCTTTTTAAATTAACTAATTTGACTAACTTTTGCTTGATTGTCATATTAAGACATGTTAAACTCGACAAACAATAACCTTGATATAGTCAACTTTAATTGTGTAACTTTTGCTGTCTGAGTGGGAAAATATTGTTTCCCCTTATACTCAAAAACATCATTCATTAAAATATTATTTTTACTTTACTTTATAAACGTATAATGGTGCAATTTAAATGTATGGTATTTCCAAAATGTCTGATACCTGTATAGTGCACGAGTATTAGGGTTGAATATATAAATCAAACACGGAAATATGTTTTAACATTTGAGCCGTGTTACGACAAAACCAACAAAGTGCGTTTGCGACCAGCATGGATCCAGACCAGCCTGCGCTTCCGCTCAGTCTGATCAGGATCCATGCTGTTCGCTATCAATTTCTCTTCTTGTAATAAAGTTAGTAAGCGAACAGCATGGATCCTGATCAGACTGCACGAATGCGCAGGCTGGTCTGGATCCATGCTGGTCGCAAACGCACTTTTTGGTTCATTTATCATTGAAGAATTATCCCAAACGATTACTTATACTGTTTACATGATTTATTTTATTTATGTTGTTTTATCAGAACGAATCAAACTCAGTGATTTTGAGTTCATGGTTTTGATGTTCGTGAAGTTAGCCAGACTGCCGGCCGGAACACATTTTCGTTGAGATCGGCTGTTCCGGCTGCTCCGGATAACCGGAGTCCGGTTCCTGCTGAACAGGCTAGCCAGAGAAGATACAATTAAACATGTTCAATCGACCATTGGTTAATTCAACAATGTAGTTTCAAATTACTTATCTCATCATCTCTGGATATTCCGGTTAGCTTGAAAAACCGACGACCTATTTAAGACCATGTGTGTCGTGCATGCTTAGTCCACTGGTATAGGTGTGTCTATCGGACATACTCTGGTATTTTGCCGACGTTGAGCCAAAAATCGTATTATAAATGACCATTTCAGCTAAAATTTGGCCTATTTCGCTAGCCCTGTGAGCCCAAGAACCCCATGTAATGGGATGGTAAGGTGGTCTGACCGTGTGTCCGCTAGTACAGGTGTGTCCGTCGAGAATTCTCTGGTATTTTGCCGACATTAAGCCGAAAATAGTACTATAAATGAAAAGTCATGTAAATTATGGAAACATACATGCATTTAACAGTTAAACATTTCAATTGTGATCTGAACAAAGAAAGTAATTTACAAATTACAAACCATGTAAATTACCAGTAAAAGGTAAAATATGCAAACATCCCTCTTAGTGCGTTAGACATGTACCATTTAATTTGTTAGTGTAATCTTTGAATATTGTAACCTTTTTAAAAACCTTGATTTATTTTCAAGCTTTCTTGAAATAATATGTAAGGCTAGCCAGAATAATAGTTATCAAGGCTACTTCAGATGAAAAGAAACCCAGCGTTAGACATAGGAATAATTTTGTCGAGCATGGTGTGTCCGTGTGTCAGCTGGTGAATGTCCGTCGGGAATACTCTGGTATGTTGCCGACGTTGAGCCGAAAATCAAACTTTAAATGACCATTTCAGTTAATATCTAGCCCATGTGAGTCCCAGTCACATTTTCGCAGAACCACACATGGTGGAATGTTTAGGGGGCATGATCGTGTGCCCGCGGGTATAGGTGTGTCCGTCGGTAATACTCTTGTATTATAACGACGTTGAGCCGAAAATCGTACTATATATGATCATTTCAACTTATACCTCGCCATTTTCGGTTGGCCCCTGTTAGCCCAAGCACCAGTTATGCAGATCCCAATATGGTAGGATAGTTAGGGGGTCTGACCGTGTGTCCGCTGCTGTAGGTGTGTACGTCGGAAAAAAACTTTGGTATTTCGCCGACGTTTAGCTGAAAATCGGACGATAATGGTCTTTCCAGCTCAGATCTCGCCAATTCCGGCTGGCCCTATGAGTCAATCTTGGAATTCTCTGGCTTTTTGTTGACGATGAGCCGAATAAATATTTGATATCTACCAAATCTTGTCCTATGATCTCCACAAAAACCCATCAAGTCCCATGCTTAGGTATGAAAGACTGGTTGGGACATTTTGACTTCGTGAATATCTAAATTTCATCATTTAGAAATTTTACTTTGTGAATTTACGTTTGTAACATACGGACATCACGAATTAACGATTTATTTTCACGATGTCAGCTTCATGAACTCACTGTTTCAACTTCGCAAATTCACAATTTCATATTCACAAATTCACGATTTCAACTTTCAAAATCACATTTTCAACTTCATGAATTCACGATTTCAACTTCACGAATTCATGATTTAAACTTCATTAAACCAAGATTTTTACTTCGTGAATTGAAGATTTCAACTCACGAATTCACAAATTAAACACACGGATTACGAGAGTCACGAATTTACGATTTCAAATTCACGATTTTACTGCACATATTTACGACTTTAACTGCACAAATTCAAGATTTTACTTTCATGACGTTGAAAACATGAATCCACGAAGATGAAATCGTGAAGATGAATTCCTGAAGTTGAAATATTGAATACATGAAGTTAAAATCGTCATTTAGTTGAAATTGTGAATTTTTGAAGTTAAAACAATATTATTACGAATTTTAGCCAAAATTTACGGAGCCCCTAAGGTGACATTCTCGACACTTTTACCCCGGCATTTAATTCGTTTTTACGAAATATTAATTCGTAATTACGAAATATCAATTCGTTTTTACGAAATATTAATTCGTTTTTACGAAATATTATTTCGTAATTACGAAATATTAATTCGTAAAAACGAAATGTTATTTCGTAATTACGAAATATCAATTCGTTTTTACGAAATATTAATTCGTATTTACGAAATATTAATTCGTTTTTACGAAATGTTATTTCGTAATTACGAAATATTATTTCGTTATTACGAAATATTAATTCGTAAAAACGAAATGTTATTTCGTAATTACGAAATATTAATTCGTTTTTACGAAATCT